AGAGAGAGAGAGAGAGAGAGAGAGAGAGAGAGAGAGAGAGAGAGAGAGAGAGAGACAGGTGAGTCAAACCAAAATCACAAACAGAGATCAGATAAGTAAAAACAAAAGAAAGAAGCCAATGAGAGAACCAGAAGACTGAAAAACTGGTAATGATAAACTGGGAAATGACAATTCTACCACCACCACCACCACCACCAGCTCAGACCTCCCGCCTGGGCGGCAGGCCGAGGACGTGGCCCTCGATGCGCAGGCCGCCCATCCACTCTGCCAGCTGCTGGTCGACGGAGGGCGAGGCGGGCAGGGGCACGCCCACGTAGGCGGTGGCGCCCCGCTGGTGGCGGTGCTGGGCCAGCCGCCGGGCGACGCTCTCCTCGGTGACAAAGTCCACCAGGTCCATGCGCGCCTCGATGAAGCGGCGCACGCGGGCGCCCAGGCGCGACAGCAGGTCACCACCACCACCTTTCTCACCTCCTCCCTCTTTCCGCTTTGCCTTCTCCACCTTCTCCGCGCTGAGCGGTCCGCCCTCCGCTCTGAGCGTGGCCATGAGCACGGCGCGGGACATCGCCGTGAGCCGTGGCATCTCCAGGGGGACGTAGTAGGCGGTGAAGTGGCGGTGGTCGGCTCGTCGTCGGCGGTAGCTGCGGAAGCTGCTGCCGCCGCCGATGCTGCTGCTGCTGTAGTTCATCACCGCCCAGAGGCCGTCCTCGGCGTCGCCGGTGGCGGTGAGGAGGAAGGCCTTGGCGGCGCGCGGCCGCAGCCGGGCCTTGTGCACCAGACAGCGCCACTGGCGGGTGCGCAGGTCAATCGACCAGAGGCTGGTCTTCGGGCGCCAGAAGTCGCGGCAGCCGAGGATGAAGAGCGAGCTGGGGCGGACGAAGGCGCAGCTGACCGCCGTCTTGAACTTCAGCATCAGGTCCTTGCGGTCGTACTGGGGGCGGACAGCTGCAGCTGCAGCTTCCGCATCGTGCTCCACCATCTCCTGGTGGTCAACCTCTTCTTCCGGCGCTTCGGCTTCGACTTGGCCTTCCGAGGCGACGCTGATGCGCTCGTGAGTAGAGCGACGACGGTGGTGATGATGATGATGATGAATAGATCCTCTTGCTCCTCCTCCTCGATTGCCATGGCTTCGCTGATTTGCAGAGGCTGCCTTTGCTTTAGGAGGCGGCTGCGGCTGCGACAGCTCCAGCGGCAGAGGCGGTGGTAGAGGGGGAATCTTCAGCTCCTCAATGGTCCACTCGCCGGCGAGCAGGTCGACGTGGATCTATGCAGGGGTAAACCAAAAAGATTAGAAAGGATTAAGATCTCCCCCTTCATTTCCTCACAATGCTCGTCTGACAGCTGAAGCGAGCATCGACGCTGGGCACCCAGAAGCGAGTGCGCAGATCGCGAATCATCATAAAGAGGTGGTGAGAGCCTCCTTCTTCATCACCCGCTGAACTACTATTTCCCATCAGCTGTCCGCCGTCCTGGAAGGCCATAAAGAGGCCCTCGGGCATCACCTCGCCGAAGGTGTCATTGTGGAGGGGCAGTCGCTCCCAGCGCAGCTGACCGCCGTCGTCCAGGTTCTCCACCTCGCCCAGAGAGAGGCGAAAGACGCCCACCCGGGTCTCGGGGGCGCCCGGAATCATAGGGTCCGCCGCCAGGTGGTGCTGGCCACCATTGCCACCATTACCACCATTACCACCTCCTCTGGGAAAGGCCTGGGCAGGCGGCGGCGGCGGCAACACCACGTCCACCACTTCCTCTTCTTCGGCTCCATTTTCAGCCGCAGCTGCAGCAGCTGTTGAAAAGAAAGAAAGAATGAATGAAAGTTGGCAAGAATACCAAACTGAAATCCTTACCCTGTCCACCGGGCGCCATCATCATGAGGACGGGCGTCACGGTCAGTCCCGCCTGGACGTACAGCCACCGCTCCTCGGGGTCGAGGGCGGCGCAGAAGAGCTCCACCGAGTAGTCGACGGTGAGGGGGCCCTGGCCACCGAGGCCGAGGCCGAGACCGAGCTCGGCTCGCTGCAGCGCAAAGATCGCCTCCACGGGCAGGGCGGTGAAGCGGCGGCGGCGAAGGCAGAAGAGGTAGAGGGCGCTGCTGAAGAAGAGCAGGACCGCCTGGAGCCGGCCGAGGAGGAGGCTGAAGAGCGGCGGGCTGTCCCACTCGGTGGGCAGGTCGCCGGTGAGGCCGGCCAGGCGGTTGTTCCAGTGGCCGGAGACCTTGCAGTACCGGGCGACGCCCACCGAACAGGCGGGCGGCGAACAGGACTCGGGAGGGAGGGGGCTGGTGATGCAGAGGCCGCCAGCAAATCGGTTCAGACCACCTGCCATTTCCTCCTCCTCCTCTGGGGTGAATGAGGAGAAGGAAAAGTGGTGATTTAGCTGACCATGACTGCTGGAGGAGGAGACGACAATCTCGCGAATGTTGGGAGCGGCGGCCGGCGGCTTGGGCGCCGTCAGCTGGTAGAAGCCGTAGATGAACTGCTTCGTCGAGACGACACAGCTGAAGATGGGCGTGTGCACTTTGCTGCGAGAGAAGCGAGGAGCTGGTGAGTGGTAAGGTAGTAAAGGTGAGTGAATTGTAGTTGATGGGGCTCACACAAATGGCCATGGCCACAAACTTACCCTGCGACTTGACGCGATTAAACTTGAGCAGCTTCAAGTTGGCCTCGGCGGCCGCCCGGCGCACCTTCGACAGCCGCCGACGGGCGAAGAACTTGGCCAGCAGGCGAGGGGCGTGATGATGTGCCGATGATGAGGATGGTGGTGGAGAAGATGGAGATGATGTCAGCGATTGCTTTCGAGCCATGGCAATGGAGAAGGTTTGTGGGAAAGGCTGAAGAGAAGAACACTGCTGCTGCTGCTGTTGCTGCAGAAGATTGCCTGTCTAGTCCATTGCTGACTCGACGGTGCTCAATCAATGAATCAATGAGCGAGGGAAAGGGAAGGCAAGGGAAGCCACAACAAACTCGCCGACAGACAGACACTTGACACAGGACGGGAGCGAGAACAAATGAACGACGAAACACCAAAGGTGGCTGGTGTGTTGGGGTGCTCTGTTGGCTATGCCGCCGCCGCCGATGCGTCACATGAGCAGCAGTGGGCAAAAAGAAGGAAAAGAATAGAGGGAAGAGAGAGAGAGAGAGAGAGAGAGAGAGAGAGAGAGAGC